TAAGAAAATTAAAAAAGGGAATAAAAAGAAAAACTCTTCGTCAAAGAAAAATAAAGGATCAGGAGGACAACCAGATGAATCTGACTCCAGTTCCGATTCTAGTTCTGAATCTGATAAGGAACCGGAAAAATCTGCATTACCCAGATTCCCAGAGATAACACCCACCAACGCCACTCATATTGTTAAAGAACACAAAATCCCAGTGTTTCGAGGGGACGACGACGAGGAAGATCCGATCGAATGGCTCAATGACCTAATTAAGGTCAGTAAAGCAAATGGTTGGAACAAAGCGACAGCACTACGCCAAATACCAATCGCATTAAAAGACATCGCAGCAGACTGGTATCAGGAACTATCAAATAAAAAGAAAACAGACATAGATGAATTTATTAAAGCTTTTACTAAGCAATTCTCGGATACGGCCACTACAGCCAAATTGCATACCAAGATTGCAACGTTAAGAAAAAAGGAAAGCGAAAGTGTTGCCCAGTATTACGGCAAGTTCACAAAATTATTACGACGAGCCGACCCGAAAAATAAATACTACACCATCAAGCAAAAAGCCGATCTATTTATCCGAGGCCTAGATAAAAAGCTTCAGAAAAAGGTTTTTAGCCCAAGAGTTAAAACGTTAACGGAAGCCTATAAAAAAGCAAAAGAAGCAGAAACAATGCTTACTTATAACGAATTCTCCACCAGTGTAAATGCTGTATTGAACGGAGAAACAAAAAACGCCGATGGACAACGGATAAGACGTTTGGAGAAGACCATTCAAACGTTGATTGCCGAACAAAGGGAAGCGAGACGAGAAAAAGACCAAACAAAGGAAGAAATGAAATGCCTTTATTGCGGAAAGAAGGGTCACTTAATCCGCGAATGTCGAACTAGGTTATTCGATCAAAGAAGGGAACGAACAACCAATCAAAATAATCGATTCAATTCATATTCGACACCGCGAAATAACCAACAACCATTCGTGTTATATCGAGATCCAAGACTGCCAATTAGGCAAGATCGACGAGATAACCGAAACAACCAAACATTCCGAAATACTCTAATTAACCAAACGTATAGACCAACAGAAAGAAGGAACTATAATCAAAATAATCAACAAAATTACAATCAACGACCATCTACTCCTCGAAACGTACAGAGGACTTATCTAAATATCGAATCAGAACAGGAAGAACTAACCACGGAAGAGTCCGAAGAAGAATCCAACGAATCTGATGATAGTTCGGTTATGGCTTTA